GGCTTCCCCACAGCTGAGATTTCTCTCTTGCAGGGAAAATGGAGAGGTGGCAGGTTGTGTCCCCTATAGAGTACACACGCATGTGCGCGAACACACACACACACACACACGCGCGCGCGTGCACACACACACACACACACACACACACACACACACACACACACACCGACGCCCTCTCCTGGCTCCCGTGGGCACTGCAGGCACCTGTAGCACATACATGCATGCAGGCAAACACTCATACACATAGAACTTTCAGAAAAAGAGAAAGGAAAGAAAGAGGCTGGGCAGTGCTGTTCACGCCTTTAACCCCAGCACTCGGGAGACAGAGGCAGGTGGATCTCTGTGAGTTTGAGACCATCCTGGTCTAGAAAGTGAGTCCAGGACAGCCAGGGCTATTAGACAGAGAAACCCTGACTTTGAAAAACCAAAAGAAAGAAAGAAAAAGTGTTGTTTATTAATATTTATTATTGATTTATCTTTTAGTTAAGCAGTGGTTATTCCTAAACGAGCTGTGTACCCTAATCACCACACAGAGACTGGGATTTATTTAATTAACCTAGAGCACAATGCTGGGCAATAGTTACTCCATCCTAAACCTCCAAGCCCGCATAGCTTCCTCCCATTCATATTTCCTACATTATACTTGCATTTAGTCATATCTTAGATCCAGTTCATCTCACCTCATGGTTTCAATTTCTGTCCTGCCAATGACTCCTTGCCACTCCCTTCTCTCTTCCCTACTCTGGGCCAGGATATCCTACCCTATTCTCTCCTTTGCTCAGCATTGACTGATGTTTAATTGACAATACAGAGAACAAATGGTGGCATGTTTACACAAACTTGAGACAGGTGATGCGTAGAATAAATATCACAATGCAATGTCCGGATTGAAACCAAAGAGTGGGGTAGAGAAATCAGCATTTGAATGAACAAGGGTAAATTGTATACTTTCCACAAGAACATAATTCCAACAAAAAAGAAAAAAAAAAAAAAACACTGCTAGTTCTCTGCTGGCACCAACAATTACTGTTGAGGAAAGCCTGCATCCACGGCACAGGGAGATTCAGGCAGCCAGAAGAGAGCTGAATTCCTAAGAACCAGGTGAGTGAGAAGCCACTCCCAAGGACAGCTTTCAACCTGCAGCTGCTCCGTGACCTCAGGAAGGATCCTGAGGCAGAGCAGACAGCTAAGACACTCCTGGCCTCCTGTCAAGAAACCCGAGATACATAAGAGTGGGGCCAGCCTGGATGTCCATCAGCTGATGGATGGATCAAGAAGATGTGGTACATACAGACCGTGAAATTTATTCAGTAGTGAAATGATAGGACATCACGACATTTGCAGAGAAATGGACGAAACTGGAAATTATTATATGAAGTAAAATAAACCTGGCTCAAAAAAAAAAAAAGGGGTGTGTTTTCTCTTGCATGAGGATCCTGGATTTTAATTCTGTGTGTGTGTGTGTGTGTGTGTGTGTGTGTGAGAGAGAGAGAGAGAGAGAGAGAGACAGAGAGAGAGAGAGAGACAGAGATGGAGAAAGACAAGCAGATCACAAAACTAGAAAATGGACTATGAGGGGGAAATGGGGTCTTAAGGGAGGTGGGAAAGGAATGAAAGAGGGCAATATACGTCACAGTAAAGCAGAAAGGCTGTTACAGGGAGAAGGGAACCCAAAGGCGGGTAGGACGGAGGTCAGGAGTGAAGGAGGACAGTGAGCAAGAAGTATGCATGCCAAAGCCAAAGCGCCAACGAAACTCCGTAAGATAATACTGGGGTGTGTGGGCAGGAACTAGTTGAAAAGTGTTTTGAGCCTAGTATGGCTGCACATGTCTTTTTCTTCTTGAGACAGGGTTTCTCTGTGTAGCCTTGGCTGTCCTAGAACTCACTATGTAGAGCAGGCTGGCCTCAAACTCAGAGATCCTCCTGCCCTGCCTCCCAAGAGCTGGGATCAAAGGTGTGCGCCACCACCACCTGGCATGCTTGTACCTGTCTTTAGCCCAGGTCTCCAGGCAGAGGCAGGAGGATCTCTGGGAGGCCCAAACCATCCAGGGCTGCATAGTGAGACCCTGCCTCAAGCAACACAGTAACAGAAAAAATATATGTTTTAAGGCTTGAGGGAGATAACGCAGTCAATAAACCACTGCTTGCCTTGTGTCTTAGTTACTGTTCTGTTGCTGTGAAAAGACACCGTGACTAAGACAACTTAGGAATGAAAGCATTCAGCCTGGGGGCTTAGAGTTTCAGAGGATGAGTCGATAACCATCAAGCCAGGAAGCATGGCGGCAGGCAGGCAGGCAGCCATGGCGCTGGAGCAATCAGAGAGCTCACACCTCATCCACAAGCAGCAGCCAGAGGGAGGGGGAGACGGAAAGAGAGAGAATGAGCGAGTGCTGGCATGGGCTTTTGAGACCCCAAAGCCCATCCCCAATGACACACCTCCCCCCATCGAGGCCACACCCTCCTAATCCTTCCTAAACAATTCCACCAACTGTGGCCCAAGCATTCATAGATGAGTCTGTCAGTCAAACCACCACACCTTTGTAAGCATGACGACCTGAGTTTAATCTCCAGAAGCCCGAATTTTTTTAATAAAGCAGACATGCCTGAAATCCAAGCATGGAGACGGGTAGATCCCTAGGTCTCACTGGGCTGGCTGGCCTAGCCTACTTGGCGATTTCCAGTGGGAGAGCCTATCTTCAAAAATAAGGTTTTAAACCGGGTGGTGGTGGCACACAAGTAGAGGCAGGTGGAGCTCTGTGAGTTCAAAGTCTGCATGGTCTGTGTAGAGATCTGCTGCCCTCTTCTGGACTCTGCACATGCATGCGTACACACACACACACACACACACACACACACAAATTAAATCTTGAAAAAAGGAGAAAAAAAGAAAATACGATGTAAGGATTGTACTGCCCACATCCTCTTCCACTATCAGGAAGAAAGCAGCTTGGCAGAGCGCCCAGCGGATTTCCACGTGCGTCTCCTCTCCTAGAGCCGTGACCACGGGTACCGTTGCTTCAAGGCAGTGTCTGAGAAGGCAAGTACCTTGCCTGGATCTGGGCATCTTGCCATCCCGGACACAAGCAGACTTTCTCAGCAAAGGGGGAAATGGCAGGGAAGAGGGCACCGACTGGCATCACTAGGCACAGAGCTTAACAAACAGTAGCTAACAGGCAGAGTAAACGGGAGTCGCCCCTTGGCATAAAGACAGAAGGGCGCTGGCCAGGCCAGCGCTCCCGGAGCACGGAACCTTCCCAGGTCTTCCAAACACGTTTGCTCCCTTACACCTAAAAGAGGTTTCTCCAGGTTTTACATCAATGTCCTTTTGTAAAAATGTATTTATCATTCTCCTTCGCTCTGTGTCAAACGTGTGTGCCGGCCATGGCAGCCTTGTGGAAACTGACAGGGCAGTTTCCTCCGGCCCGTTCTTCCCTTCCACCTGTGGGTTCAGACTAAGAGTCCACCGTACTGAGTGTGTTGCCGTGGAGACGGGATTCTCTATGGCAACCATTTAAACTTCTCATTGTGTGCCCGTGTGGCAGTTTATTCCTTCCTTAGTGTTTTTATTAGTTGTTACTCTGTGTGTATAATGGGGGCGGGGGCACACGGGCCATGGCATTTGTGTGAAGAAGGTCAAGGACAGCTCTGTGGGCCAGTTCCCTCCTCCCACCTTTCTGTGTAGTCCAGAGATCACACTCAGGCCCCCTAACCCACCAAGGCTCACCCGCAGCCCATTCTTTATTGAAGCTGCTTCTTCTTCTCTCTCTCTCTCTCTCTCTCTCTGAGACAGGTTTTCCTGTAACCCAAACTGCCCTTGAAAACTCACCACGCAGCCAAAGGTGACCCCGAACTCCTGATCCCCCTGCCTCCGCCCTCCGAGGCGGTGGGTTTACAAGTGTGCACCACCACGGCTTCACACAGTGGCAGGGATGGAACCTGGGGTTTCACGTGTGTGAGGCAAGCGCCGCCTCAGCCGAGCCTGGTCCCCAGATCTCCTGGTGGATTTCTGTTGGCTTCTGTGGTCTGGTTCCTAACCGTTCATGTCAAAGTGCATTTTCTAATAGTCCTGTGTGTGCTTCAGTGTGGGCTGTGTGAGAACTTCACTCTCCTGCAGAATGTGTCGGTGTCTGTGTGTGTGTGCGCTCGTGCATGGGCAAGTGCCATCAGTCATTCACGTCATGTTCTCAGGGAGAGATGGACAATGAAGACTTTGACGTGGAACTCACACAGACAGAGCCCTTAGTCTCAGCAAGGAGGAAGTTAGAGAAAGCCAGGGCGTATCAGTTCATTGTGGACATTTCCTTGCAGTGATGGCTTTTGTTTCTTTGGGCAATTTGGCAAACTTGGGTTTGGATCATGAGCACTCAGCTGAGAATTCCCTGCACACAGACAGATGCCTCCCCACACAGGAGAATGGAGTTTTCCTCCCCCGGCCCCCGTGTGGGGCTTCTGTGGAGTAGAGCGCTGCAGTGGTCACTGTGGACTTCGGAATCCAGGCCAGGAAAGATGAGACGCGTCCATCCTGCTTATCTGGCTCTTCTGGAACAGTCTGGGGAGCCCCCTTCAGCCTGCGGAGAATGTCAGGCGTCTCCCTCTGTGGCTATCTGTTCTATCCCTTTGAAATGGATTCTCTCCATTTCAAATGAATCCACAGCTCTCTGTTCTGCCCGGGCCAGTAACCTCCAGGGTCTGTTCATCTCCATCCTTCCCCCTTACCCAAAGACCCAGATTTACAGAGACAGGCCAGGACAGGTTTTTAATGGGCCCTGAAGTCAGATCCGCAGCAAGCCCTCGACCTACAGGAGCCATCCAGCCCTCCTCCCCGCCCTCACCTGCAGTCAAGTTCAACATCTCCTGTCAGTCAAAGCCATTATTTCCCATTTCCTTTCTCCTCTCTGTATCCAAGGGGGATGGAGAAGGAGAGAGAGAGCCTGGTACTTCCTGTGTGGACAGGAACTGAATCGCTGTGGGGTTTGCTTGCTTCCACAGGGGACACCGGCATGAAGCATCAGACCTGGTGCGGACTGACGGCCAAGATAGGCACTGTGCTGTCAGGGGTGTTTTCTATCATGGCCGCCCACATGCACATCATCTTCGAAAAGAAGCACCTTGGCGACGGCAACTGCATGGAAAAGGTCCAGATGCAGGACATCAACGTGCTGAGCCGCTTCTTCATCTGCTGGAGCTTCAGAATCGTCACCTTCACGTCGTTCGTCACCATGGTGGCCAGCTGCTTCCTCCTGTACTCGGTGTACGCCAAGATCTACGAGGGCCTCATGAGCTACACGGGCTGGATAATCACCTACGAGCTCACCAACCTGGCGGTCCAGATCTTCACGGATGAGTTCAGCATAGCCCTCATCAGAGCCATGCGCTGGTTCGGCTTGGTGGCTCGGGCCTCCCTGCACTGCTTCTGGCTGTTCTTTGTCATCACCTACGCACAATTCATTTACCAGAGCAAAAAGCAGGGCAACATAATCTCCTACCACAGACGCATCTCCCTGGGAGGCGGAGACGCTCCACGGAGGAAATCCAAGATTGTAAACTTCATCCACCACTACAATGATTGACGGTGGATGCTCCATTTTCCATCACTGGAGGCTCTCAGGGTAGCCCTAGTCCCCCAATGCATCTTTTTTTTTTGGGGGGGGTTGCTTTTGGTATGTTGGGTCTTCTTTAGCCTCAACCCCTAGCTATGTATAACCCATTATACACCTGATGAGTAAAACAACAAAAAGGAGAAAAAATTCTTTAGTCCGTCTCTTTGAGTTTCACCCCGAACGCACATACATTGTTTATCAAGAAGTGGTCAAAGGGCCAGGGAGCCGGAGAGCTGGAGAGATAGCTCTGCAGTTAGGATCACTTACTGGCCTTCCAAAGGACCTGGGTTTGGTCCCGAGCAGCTCACAGTCATCCGCAGCTCCAGTTCTGGGGGGGACCAGTGCCCTCTTGTGGACTACACAGGCACTGCACGTACCCTCACCCACTGTCTCAGTTACTGTTCTATTGCTGTGAAGAGACACCGTTAACAAAGCAATGCTTAGGAAAGAAAGCATTTAGCTGGGAGGGGGGAAGGGGCTCACTTACAGTTTTAGAAGCTTAATCCGTTATCATCGTGGCGGGGAGCAAGGCGGCACCCGTGGGACTGGAGGAGTAGCTGAGAGCTTTACATCCTAATCCAAAGGCAGCAGGCAGAGAGAGTGACTGGGCCTGGCACAGGCTTTTGAAACCTCAAGAGACACATTTCCTAATCCTTCTAATCTTTTTAAACAGTTCTACTCCCTGGTGATTAAGTATTCAAATTATATAACCCATTGGGAGGGTATTCTCATTCAACCACCTCAGCCATATGAAAGGAAAATAAATTCTTTTCTTTTGTGAGAAAGATTATTATGTAGACAATGTTCTGCCTGCATGTACACCTGTATGCCAGAAGAGGGCACCAGATCTCACTATAGATGGTTGTGTGCCACCATGTGGTTGCTGGGAATTGGAACTCAGGACCTCTGTTAGAACAGCCAGTGCTGTTAAGCTCTGAGCCATCTCTCCAGCTCGGTAAATAAATCTTAAAAAATAAAAATTTAAAAAGTGTCCAGGTGGGCAGTGATGCCCTTTAATCCCCAAACCCAATAGGCAGAGGCAGGTGGATCTGCAGGGTGAGTTCCAGGACAGCAAAGGCTACTTGGCCGATCTCCGTTAAACCTGGTATTTGCTACTCGCTATGAATGATGTTTCAGTGGGTAAAGGCACTTGCCGTCAAGTCTGAGGATCTCAGTTCAGTCCTACATGGTGCAGAGAGAGAGGTGACTCCCAGAAAGCTGTCCTCTGACCTTCTCATGTGCCCTACCACACGCACACACACATACATATGCACAGACACAAATGTTAAAAAAAAAAATTAAAATTAAAAGCAGAAAAAACATCTAGATTTTATGATTAAGGACGTTTGCTACTCTTTCAGAGGACCAGAGTTCGATTCTCAGCACCCACATCAGGCACCTCACAGCTACCTGTAGCCCCAGTTCTGGTGTGATCCAAAGCCGCCTTCCGGCCTCTGCACACGTGTGCGAACATGCATGCAGACAATAGGTACATACAGATAAAACTTAGAATTCTTGTTTGAAGACAGGGTCTCATTATGCGGCCTTGGCTGGCCTCAAACTCACAGGGATCCTCCTGCCTCTGCCTCGTAAACTGTGGGATTAAAGGCGTGCGCCACCATATGGGGGGCGGGAGGGGAGCTTTTCTCAAAGCAAGAAAAGAGGAAGCTGAGCCAGGCAAGGCTGTTGTCTTTGGAGACATCATCGAGAACAGGCGGATGGATGGTGACAGAATTTACCAGCTTCTAGGACAGAGAAGGAGAATGTGCTGAAACACGCGTGTTCCCAGGGAGGGGCTGCCTGCACGGAGGAGGGGCGAGCACTTTTGATGGCAGTTTAAAATGTGGCTCTTCACAGTTCATTGTTTTGCTGAGGCATAAATTCCACAGTGCAACTTCCTTCTTTTCGGACTGGCTCTGTGTGCGTGTCATTAAGTCACCAGGGTCAGACTGTAAATCTCTGGGCCTGTTTGTCAAGGTACGGAATTCACCCCCACCCCCACCCCCGCTAGTGTCCCAGAGCCTCTTGTCCCCTCTTGGCTTTGCTTTTTTTTTTTTTTTTTTTTTCCAGACAGAATTTCCGTGTAGTCCTGGCCATCCTGGAACTCGCTCTGTAGACCAGGCTGGTCTTGAACTCTGCCTGACTCTACCACCCGGAGTACTGGGATCACAGGCATGGGCCACCACACCCGGCTGTAACTTCATTTCTGAATGTTAACATCTTAAGGGTTTGCCATCAGCACGTAGAATTGTCCTTGACCTGTATACCACAGTGAGCTTCATTTACATGTTAAGCAGGTAATAGGGTTTTGGTTTGGCTTGGTATTGGATTTTGCTTAAGATGGAGTCTCATGTAAGCCCAAGCTGGCTTCAAACTTGCCATGTGCTAAGACGGCCTTGAACTTCTGATCCTCCTGTCCTCACCTCTGGAGTGCTGGGATTACATGCTTGTGCCACCAAGCTAGGGTTTTTGTTTTGTTTTTTTATATGGTACTGGGAATCGAACCCAGGACTTCAATGCACGCTGGGCGAGCGCTCTACCACGTGTCCAGCCGGTTTGTAATGCTTCTGTTGATGTCATCATACTGTCTGCATAGGCAATCATTTTGCTTGCAGAAAGGGTAACCTTTGTTTTCATACACTTATGTAACTCGTGTGCTGTGGCTCCCATGCAGAGATGAGAAGACAGCTGGTGGGAATCAGTTCTCTCCCGCCAGCGTTCGGGTTCCAGTGACGGGTCCCCTGGACTGCAGTCACAGATGCTTGTGCCGCCACCTGCTGCGGGAGCTGGGACCTGAGCACAGCTGCTCATTACATACCGTAATGTTTTGGCTCGTTTTGTTTAGACAGAGCCTCACTGTGTAGTCTTAGCTGGCCTCCAACTCACAGGGACCCTCCTGCCTCGACCTCCCAACAGCTGAGATTAAAGGCGTGCACCACCAAGCCCACTGCATATTTTCAAAAGCCGAAGGTGTGTCACAAACTTCGGAGAGATCAGTGTTTGCTGCTGGAAAGGTGTGTGTGGGCGCTCTGTGGACCCCAGTGCTACAGAGAAGCCATAAGAGTTATCCTCAGAACAGAGGCCAGGCTGCAGCTCAGCGGCAGAAAGCATTCACTTCTAAAATCTGGCTCTCTCTGTGACAACTCACTCTGCTCTAGAGAACTGTCCACAGAGGCAGGTCAGGCTCTGTCCTGATCCTACAAGGCCTCTTTCTCTCCTTAAGACACTCCGAGCTGAGCTGGCAAGATGGCTCAGCAGGTCGCAGCGCTGTTGCCAAACCTGAGGCCCCCGGGGGCCACATGACGAAAGGAGAGGACTGACTCCAGCTGCCTTGTCCACATGTGCAGGCCAGAGCAGACCCGCCACCGTCTTCTCCATTTATTAAATTATAGGAAGTATTTCTTCCATTTGGATTTTCCTTTTTTTTCAAGACAGGGTTTCTCTCTAGTCCTGGCTGTCCTAGAACTCACTCTGTAGCCCTGGCTGGCCTAAAACACACAGAGATCCTGCCTCTGCCTCCCATGTGCTGGGATCAAAGGCGAGCGCCACCACCGCCGGGCCAGTCTCCTGGGTCCCCACAATGCACAGCTTCGTTTTCTGCGCACATAGACGACAGATGTTCGCCGGCTGAATGCTGAATGGGTGGAATGTGCCGGAAGAAACTCCCAAAAGCAGAGGGAAGAGTTGTATGGTTATTCGGGAGCCTGAAGTGGTGGAGACCAGGAGACGTGGAGCCCGTGGGATTTACAAAGACCTCTGCGGTGGGCACCTATAACACAGGCACGAAACAAAGGAGGAGGCCAGTGTGTTTGGGGGCTGACATTTGGAGGAACCAGGCAGACATCCCAGATCCACCCAGCAGCCACTCTGGAAACTACCCAGTTCATGGATGCAGAGGAGGGACGTGGTTGGCCAGGACAGCGAGGGGTCAGTACAGCTGTCCACCAGCTACGTGGGCCTCTCCAAGGGCATGACCCAACGTGGGGTTCGTGTCCCTGGAGGGGCAGCAAGTGCAGGAACGGTTGGGATGAACCTTATACCGGGGATGGCATCAGGTCGTGGTAGCACACCTTTAATCCCAGCACTCAAGACGCAGGGGCAGGTGGAGCTCTTAGTTCGAGGCCAGCCTGGTCTACATCACCAGTTTCGGGACAGCCAGGGCTACACAGAGAAACCCTGTCTAGAAAAAACGAAACAAGACAAAAGAATGGTAGATGTGGCTGAGTGTCATGGCACAACCCCCCCCCCCCCCACACACACACACACAATGTCAGCATCTGAGAAGTTCAAGACCACCCCGGGCTACACATCGAGTCTGAAGTCAACCGTGGAAGGCTGTCTTATAAGGGCAGGTAGGAATGGGCGCCTGGCTCAGCTGGCTTCACACACAGGAAGCCGTGGGCTCGATTCTCAGTGCTGCATAAACTGGGTTTGCCGTGCAGGCCTGTAGTCCCATCATTCATTCGGGAAGCAGAGAAGGAAGGTCAGGGACTCAAGCTCATCTTCAGCTGTTCGGAGTTCAAGAACAGCCTGGCTCCTGTCCTGATCCACCACACCAGAAGACAGTTGGAGGTGACCAACGGCAGGGTTACCTTGTTCTGACTGACGGAAAGGGCTCTGCTCTGCTCACCTCAGAGAGAAGCCAGGCCAGGCTTTCAGCTGCTTGTCCCCCTACTGATCAGAGTTCTCTGGAGGACAGATTCTTAAACAGAAGGTTAACATTCTGTCCATGCTATATAAGGTCACATACCTGACTGAGGGAGTCGCAGAAGATCTGTCAACGCCACATCAGCGATGTGACGCCCACGGGGAGCCTCCACAGGCCGTGAATGTGGTACACAGACATACATGCCGGCAAAACACCCATGTCCATGAAATAAAGTAGGTCAAAGGTGAGGAAAACCAGAGGCAGCTCCTGAGAGCTGGGAGGGGCTTCCGGTGGAGGAACGAACCAAGCCTATGGAAAACACACACACTGTAGATGCCAGGGAGATGACCCCGTGTTCTTCACATGCCGCTCATGAAGGCCCCTCTGCCCACCTCTGACTTCACCTCCGCTGATGATTGGCTTTGCCTGGCAGCCACTTGGCCAGTGTCACGGACCTCCGTGTTCGCAGGAGTCTCTTGATTATTTCTGTCCTCACATTTACAGGGAAGGGCCTGTAGCTTTAGCATGGCAGAGAGTTAACCATCCCGGCCACCAAGGTGTAGCTGCGTCTTTCCGTCAGCTCCTTGTTAAGAGCACTGGCTGCTCCTCCAGAGGTCCTGAGTTCAATTCCCAGCCACCCCATGGTGGCTCCCAACCGTCTGTAATGAGATCTGGCGCCCTCTGCTGGCCTGCAGACAGAATGCTGTATAAATAATAAATGAATGGTACAACGGGCAGACACTTCCAGAAACATTGGCTTCGTTACGTGTTTGATTTCGAACAGTTTTTTTTTTTTTTGGTAGTGAAGCATTCAGAAATTTGTCATGGCTCCGCGCGGGCGTCCCACAGCTAGCGCACTGTGGCCAGACCTGCTGTGATCCCCTCAGTCAGTTCCGTGACCCCATCCAGGGTAATGACCTGTTGTTCGCTTAGACCATGGCCCGGCCCCCGGCCCCACCGCCTTTCCCGGTGTCACCTCCGCTCCCCCGTCCCCTCGTGAGTGACATGGGGAACCGGTTTTGGCCCAGCTCAGCCCCTCATGCTCCTTCCCGGCTCTCTCCTTCAGGGGCCGCCCTGGTGAGTCCGGGAGAAAATGAACTCCAAGATGATCTCCATCACGGCGGGCATCTTCTCCATCCTCAACACCATCCAGTTCGTCATCTTCGAGCTGAACCAGATAACCCACATTGGCTTCGAAGACAGGTACAGCATCTACCTGGACACAGACTCGGAGGTGTCGTCATGGGCCGTGGTCTACAGGCACAACATCACCACGGGGCTGTCCATCACCACCATCACCATCAGCTGCTTCCTCCTCTTCTGCCTGGACAAGAACATGTTCATCGGGATGCTGGTCTACCCGGCGTGGATCACGGTGTACGAGCTCTTCAGCATCACCATCGTCTTCCTCGTCCACAGCACCATCAAGGAGCAGTTCAAGGAGCTGAGCCAGCTCTACCTGACCCTGCACATCCTGCGCATGCTCCTGCACTTCTCGGCCCTGCCCTTCGTCATCAAGCACGGCTACAAGCTCTACAAGGACCCCAGGATCGTGACCATAGCCGGCCGCCGGCGTCGCTCCTCCATCAGCACCGTGGACTCGTGGCCGCCGGTCGGGCTGGGCTCTCGGTACCGCAAGACAAACTGAACAGGGAGTGGGGTGGCGCTCACCCACGGGGAAGCCCCCCCTTTCCCGGCCTCCGAGCTTGTCTTTTCAGGGTCTTGTTTTTGTTTTGTTTGTTTGTGGGTTTGTTTGTTTTTTTTTTTAGTTATATTCAGCCTGTTTCAGTACTGTCTACCTAATAACATATAAAGTTACCTTTGAGCTGACTATCTTATTGGTGCCTATTTTTAACTCCTTTTAAAAATAATTCTCAACTGGAGAGATGGCTCAGAGGTTAAGAGCACTGGCTGCCCTCCCAAAGGTCCTGAATTCAATTCCCAGCAACCAAGTGGCAGCTCATAAACTTCTGTAGATCTGGCGCCCTCTGCTGGTGAGAAGGCACACATGCAGGCAGAATGCTGTATGAATAATGATTAAATAAATTTAAAAAAAAAGAAAAGAGAGAGAGAAAGAAAGATGTTGGGCGCGGTGGCGCATGCCTGTAATCCCAGAACTCAGGGAGGCAGAGGCAGGCGGATCTCTGTAAGTTTGAGGCCAGCCTGGTGTACAAACAGCCAAAGTTACACAGAGAAACACTGTTTTGGAAATAAAGAGGGCTGGGGAGATGGCTCAAAGGTTAAGAGCACTGCTTGCTCTTCCAGAGGTCCTGAGTTCAATTACAGGCAATGACATGGTGGCTCCCAACCATTTGTTGTGAGATCTGGTGCCCTCTTCTGGTGTTCAGGTGTACATGCAGGCAGAACACTGTATACATAATAAATAAATCTTAAAGAAAAAAAGAAAAAGAAAACCACACTTAATAATAAAAAAAAAAAAAAAAAAAAAGGAAAGAAAGAAAGAAAGGCTGACTCAGGATTTCAGCTGGCCTGGAACTGTGCAGACCAGGCTGGCCTGGAACTTAGAAAATCCACCCTCTTCTGCCTCCTGAGTGCAGGAATTGAAGGCGTGTGCCACCTTGCCCTACTTCAAAGATTTATCTTTATTTTTTAATTGTGCCGGTCTAAAGCTCACTTGCCCAGAGCTAGCGTGTGCCTATCGTCAGCAGACAGCCTCCGTCAGGGCACGAGTTCCACACTCCAGCACTGTTATAACCTCATACCCACTGTGCTTAGCTTGGTTCTGGGCACGGTGCCCAGCTGGAGGCCGAGGAGGAAGTGACGAGGCGGGGTCACACTGGCACACTCCTAAAGAGGGCGTGGGACACCCGAGCTAGTGCCTTCCTTACACCGCTTAGCCCCTTGGGGGCCGCAGGGGTGACCCTCCTGAATTGTGCCCTTATAGTCTGCCCAGAACTTCCAAAGCCCTGTCTCAAAAAAAAATGAACTCACTAAACAAACAAACAAACAAACAAATAAAAACAAGCGTGGGCGTGGTGGTCGTATAGGCCTGGAGTCCCAGCGCTCATCACAGCAGTCACCCTGCCCCAGACCCCAGCGCACATACCACTCCCCGGGCCGGGTTCTGTGATCTGAACTGAGGTGCACATGTTTGCACAGCACTGAGCCATTCTCCAAGACCCCTAAACTGTCCGTCTGGACCACATTCCTCCCAATCCTGAGTATCCTGACTACTGTCAATGAACCTGGAACAAGGGGAGGTCTTCCCCCAGCAAGCTGCAAGAAGTAAGTTTGGAGCCAGGGCAGTTCTCCACACGACCGCTAGATGGCAGTCGGTGACAAGTTTCCGTTAGTACCAGATTCTCCAAGCAGGGTTGAAACTTGCTATAGGATCTAAATCCCTTCCCCAGTGTCTTTAGCCTTTGGCAGAAGTGCAGAGGCTGAGAGCTGGGGAACACGTGTGCCAAAGGAGCCTGGCAATGGAAGTTCCAGGAATCGGTGCAATTAAGAGACGGGGGGGCTGGGTCAGGTGTAGTGGGCCATTCCCCCTGCCGGGGACACTGACAGGGAAGATCCAAAGTTCCAGGTCCACCTGGGCTGCAGAGAGCTCAAGGTCAACCACGACTCAGTGTGACTCTATCACAAAATAAAAGGGAACAAGAGAGCTGGTCTGGGGAGCCACAAGGTGGCTCCTCCAGTTAGAAGCGTTTGCCACAGGAGCCCGATGCCTGAGTCCAATCCTGCATGTCCCCTGAGGCTCACACACACACCACGGCGCCCGCCCGTACACACAGAGTAAGAAGAATGAATACAAATACGTGTGCACACCCCCTCTCCTGCCAACAGGTGTCTCTCTCAGCTCAAGGACTCCAACGAATCTACTTCATCCCTACCCTTCCCTCCTCCCCCCTCTCCTCCCCTGCCTGGCTCAGTCCCACCCTCCCCTGGGCCTCACCTCTAGGCTGATGAGCTTCACACCTTCCCTCTAAAATCCAGGCCTCCCCGGGCAGGGCAGCCCACCTCTCAGGGAGAGCAGGTCAGTGCTTGTGGCCTCTGAACAAACAGAGCCTTGCAGAGGGATAAGGCGAGGGTCAGAGGAGAGAATCAGTTCCCACAGTTTGTCTCTGACACCCACAATCCCAAGGTGACGCTCCTAAGGTGGCGCTCCAGCCCACAGCACACTCACAAATAAAAAAATGTAGTTTAGATTTTAACATAGAGTCTATTCATGATTTTTATTATTGGGGAGGGGTGTAGGGTTTTTTGTTTGTATTTTGGAGACAGGTTTCTCTGTATAGCCCTGGCAGTCCTGGAACTCATTATGTAGACCAGGCTGGCCTTAGATTCAGAGAGATCTGCCTGCCTCTGCCTCCCAGGGGCTGGGATTAAAGGCTTGAGCCCAGCTTGAAAAGGTTTTGGTTTTGATTTTGTTTTAAGGTTTTTTTATGTTATGTGTATGGGTATTTTGCTCGCACACATGGATAAGGGCACCTGTGCAGCTGGAGCTACGGCTGGGAGCCACAGTGTGGGTGGTAGGAACTGAACCCGGGGCCTTAGGGGTGAATGGAGCCAGTGCTCTTAGCCCCTGAACCTTCTCTCCAGCCCCCCAAAAAAGTTTTTTTTTTCTTTCCTCTAAATACCATACAGATTTCAGCGCTGCTGGTCCCAAGAAGACAGCAGCCAAGCTGGCAGTCTCCCTTCTGAGAGGTTAATTCCATTCCGCTGGGAAACAAGGTCTAAAACCCAGGACAAACGGCTTGGGTGCCTCCTTAACATAAGGTTCTTCCCTACCTACACCTGGTCCTAGGTGCTCCCTGCATCCCTCAGTCCCTGCCCATTACAGGGTAAGGCTGGCATACCCGGGCCACGACCCTAAATTTCTCCAGCCCAGGGGCTGGGCTGGCCCTCCCCCAGCTGCCCTTCCCTGTATAGAGCAGCCATTTTGGCTACCTGGTGGTTTTCATTTGCCCTTTACCCCAATGGCCCTCCCCTCCCTTCCCCCACTTCGTCCCCCCTCCCCTGCCCCCCTCGCCAGGTTCAGGGTCTTGTTCACTCTGGACTCTCTCAGCTGTTCTGGCCCCTGGCTGTTCGTTCCCTCATTTCTACAATAAACCTTCTCCTCCACCATGCCTAGGAGAAGCCGTATCTTCCTTTCTATTTTTATTTTTAATTTATTTTTATTTTAATTTTTATTCATTTTATTTATTTGTTTGTTTATTTTTTCATTCACTGATGTCTCCAAACAACAGCTCCCAAGTAGCCAGGCCCTACCAATGACCCATGAGTGACCTAGGAAGCACTTCCTCCCCCAAGTCAACGAGCCAGAGAGTCACCTCAGGCCCTAGGTTCTCACAGGAACTAGGGTGCACTAACCGTAAATGGCCTTAACCACTGACTGCAGCGGCCATTCACGCCCCCAAAATAGCTGAAGCTGGGAGTAGATTTGCTGGCCCACACCCACTCTCCCTCACTGGTTTTCCAGGTCCCCGAGCCGCGCTGACCCTTCGGGTTCAGCTGTGACATCACCTCCAACCTACTGTCACAACAGTAACCGTTGCCTGAGCTGCTTTTTTCAGGAACTTGAAGCTAGCTCAGGTGGACTGACACCCTTGACCGGTGCCGAGAGCCTGTGAGGGTGTCCTGCGGGTGACCTTTTGACTCAGATCACGCTAAAAGCCCACACTTCCTACCGAGAGCCGTGAAGTCGGTCTAGTGTAGACCATGAGCTAACCTTTCCTTCCAGTCACCTTTCCCCACGCCTCAAACCACCACCACTCCGTCCCATGCCCCTAAAGGCTAAAAGTTACAAAAATAATAATTAATTTCTAGGCAGCTGGGTGGTTGGTGGTCCTGTGCCCCTTTAATCCAAGCACTGGGGAGGCAGGGGTGGAAGAGCTCTGTGAGGCCAGCCTGGCCTACGGAGCGAGTTCCAGGACAACCAGGGCTACACAGAGAAACCCTACCATGGAGGGGGGAAAAAGTTCTAGGCCACTCTGGGATGCGTGAGACCCTGTCTTCAAACAAACAGGCCATTCGGGTTGTTGGTCACGAACCTTTTAATGCCAGCACTTAGGTACAGACAGGCATTTGTGAATCCATTGCCTGGCCTGCAGAGCGAGTTCCAGGCCAGCCAGCCAGAGCTACACGGTGAGACCCTGTCTCAAAACCCAAAACAAACAAATGAACAAAAAAAGAAGTCTGGCGGGCCGGTGGGCGAGGTGGTGCATGCCTTTCATCCCAGCACTTGGGGAGGTAGGTTAAGTCTAGCCTGGTCTACAAAGTGAGTCCAGGACAGCCAAGGCTACACAGAGAAACTCAAAAAAGCAAACAGCACAAAAACAGAAAGGAAACCACAAAGCCCCCTTTAGGTGTCTGGGCAGATGTTTGCCTGTAGAGGGCGCAGGGTGGCACAGGGCAAACCAACCAGGAGCTGTACCCAAGCAAGACAAGACAGCGGTGGGCAGAGTGGGGCCCAGGTGGAGGCAAAGGCTGTTGAGGAATCTGAATCTAGGATGAAATGGATGTAGAGAAGTTATTGAGAGGACGGCTACAGGCCAGGAGAGAGAACCCCGAGAAGCCGCCGGGGTGGTGTGGTCGTACAAAATAGGAGTGCGGGAGGGGCTGAGGTGGTGGGCAGAGACAGGAGGACTGCTGGAGCCTCTTTGACCAGGAGACTAGCCTCAGGTT